CAGTTCCTGAGACTGGAAAGGTGGCTGGCAGAAGGGTACCAGAATGTGTACCTATTCCCTAGGCTCCTACTGGATTAGCAGGTCCTATCTTAGGATCTTGGGGTCCATCCCATTAAGTTTTGACTCCACAGGGAAGAGGCTTCTTCCCTGCTTACGGGACACCTATAACCATGTCCCCTCCAGGATGAAGCCCCTATTCCAGGAATTAGAGGCCCACTTCTCCAAGGAATGTGTCCACTAAGATGCTAAAAGCCAAAGTTGCACACCAACCTCTAGCATGCACTGGAGAGTCCAGGCACAAGGTGGGAAGCCCCTGAACTGAGGAGCAAAGGGCTCCTCAAGCTTTGTGCTCCCCCAACTCCTTTAGCCCAAGAGATTTTATGTGATCCCAGGATGTGTGTGTGTGTGTGTGTATGCATAAAGATAAGTGCAAAAATCAAGTATTTTAAATCAATATTTTAAATCAATTCCTTGGCATATATACAGTATTCCCACTTATTAAAGATAAAAGTAAATTTGCATACTAATGAGATAGCTTTGCCTGCTTAATTTCAACCTAAAGGATGAAATCTTAATTGAATACCTGATACTGCAAGATAGAAAGTATCTTCTATGATTTTCAGAGTTAGATATTTTGATTTTATACTTGTCAATGATGAGACCACCACTTTGCGCAAATATGTAGTACAAGATGGAAAAATTATTCTTAGGGCTCTTGCTGGGAAAAAAAAGTTGTCTATTATGTCCTAACCCCAAGCTAAAACATATTTAAGGATTTGTGTATGCATGTGTGTTCATATGGTGGGGAGTATGTGTACCCATGTGTGGAGGCCAAAGACTGACATCAGGTGTCTTTCCCAGTCACTCTCTACCTTAATACTTCTAAGATTTATTTTCATTATTTTTAAATTCTATATGTGTGTGATAGGTGTGGAGTATGTGTGTATGAATGAAATTTCCTGCAAAGGGCAAAAGCCTAGAATCCTCTGGAACTCACCTTGAACTCAGATCTTCTGCAAGAGAGCATCATCTTTCCAGCTCTACTGTTTAGTTTTTGAGAAAGTCTCTCATTGAACCTAGAGCTTGCTGCTTCCATTGGACTAAATGGCTAGCAAGCCCTAAGGACCTTTCTGTCTCTACCTCCCCAGTTTTAGACATCCCCAGTCTTTAACTCAAGTCAGTAAGACCAAACTTTATAGTCCAATACAGTCCAAAAATATACTAATTTGATATATTGATGTTGAAAATTTGGAGCAGGGAAATAGGAAAAGCCTTGGTTTCCATATTTATTCTTATTTTTATACAAGCAGAAAACTTATATGTATAGTAAAAAAGGTTGAAATTCTTGAGATATAATAACCTCCATTTGAGCAGAGGTGCTTTGGAAGCATTGGTTGATACTGTGTGGTGATGGCATGCCCAGCACAAAATTCACACGTGTGTTCAGAACCAGTGTTGCAGTGACATCCCACAATGCAAATAGGCCATTATAGTAGGAAACACCCCTGAATCAGGGTGTATATAATATAACTATATTATGTATACATTATATATGTAATTGTATTAATATGTATAATATAACTAATGTACTTGATTTTGAATTAATTTTTTGTTGGTGCATGTTAAGAAACCTCTTGCCATGGCTAAGCTTTTCCTTACCCCCACATTCATTACGGGGTCACAACCCACAGTTTATGCAGCTAGGTTTTAGAATAAACCAAGCCATTCCCAGAGTTAGACAAGCCAACAGAAGGGTGTTCTGTCTGTGGAAGGGTGACAGCAGCATATCACCTGTGGGGATAATGGAAGTATGTGCTCAGGAAAATAAAGACTGTGAAGTAATCAATAATCATTGGGACCCCATCTAGCCAGGTAGTTGATCTCCTACTGTGTGGTTACTTGTTCATGTGGTGACTGTGTGCCTATTATGTGGTGTCCAAGGCTCTAACACGACATACACCAACAAATTCTGTTCCACCATGTAGTTGGTTCACTGCCTATGGTTTGTGCTAATCTTCAATCCCAGGACCCGAGACCACACACCCATACTGTACGTTTGTAGTCTCAGGATTTCAAAAAGAAATGCAAACCTCTATGGGGCTGAAGTGAGGCAGATACAACACAACACTTCCCAGTTCAAAGCATGGGTGAGCTTCCTCCAGTGTGGCTGGGGAGAGAAACTTAAGATGGGCAGAGTTTCAGGCCCTTGGATCAAGAGCATGAGCTAAAACCCAAGACGAAGAATTGGCAGTGTGATCCTTGATGGGGATTCAAGTTAGCCTGGGGTACCCTTCTCTATTTTCCACTCCTAAACTGGAAGGAGCTTTGGAATCTTCCATAAATATAGAGAAACTGGGGGCTTTCCAATCCTAGCCTGGGTCAGTAACTATTTCAAGACAATGTCTGACAAGATGGTGATGCATTGTGAAAGAGACAGGAACAACAGAAAGTAAACACCTGGAGACCTGTGTGTCAGACAGGAAATATTCTGTAAGAGGCCCTCATAGAATATCACAGGCGATGAGAGGCATTTTCCTCAGAGTGCTAAACCTGATGTACAAATGAAGATAAAATGCAAAAGGTAAGCTGCCAGCCACTTCCTACAAAGAGACAACCCTAGGTAAGTAGATCAAACTAGACTCAAGGGTGGGAAAACTTACTAATATGAATCCTAAAGCAGGATTTTGCATCATTCAAAAATCCTTAGGTGCCCAAACTTCAAAATCAGAGAATAAATATTTAAAATGTCTTTGGACTTAGCAATAGACAAAAGTCATTTTTTTCCTGCACCATATTACAGAAGGTTTCATATAATTCCCAGTGACTCCCATATTTCTATGTCAGATTTGTAATAATAATTAGCCATTTGCTATCTGTTGGCCATGATTTTACAGTGTATAGGAACGTTTCATGTGGCTAAAAGAATCTGCATTTTCACATATGCCAATCTCAGAGGGAGAACTCTGGCTTTAATCTAAAGAGAAGAAATGTCACCAGAACAGACATCCCATGTTTGCTTAAGGCTCCACGGAACTGATCTTTAATGTCCAACATCCATTTGGGTGTCTAGCTGCGCCTTGAGTGAAAGGTCAGCCCTGCTACTGACCCCTACAAGGGGAGGCACAGGCCCACTCCCTACAGAAAATGCAAATTCCTCAGTCAGTTTTCTGAACAGGAAATGAACTTTCATCACCAATCACACTATAAAACAACAGTCAAGGTGGGGTGGGTGTAGATTCACAAAGAACTCTGACAGATGGCCCACAGCAGACTTGGTCCTAAAGACTGTGCATTTTAGTTGGCTGCATTTGCAGTAAAAAAGCAGTGAACTTGCTGGCAACCGGTGCTTTCATCTCCAATGCAGGTTAGGGCACACACTGAGGAAAGCAGGGGTTTCCTTCCTTCCTCACCACAGTTAACAAGTCTAGAACCTGCTTCTCATAGGGGTGTGTCTAAAGCTAACATTGTCCACTGCCTCCTTCCCTTCCACTTATTCCGAGTGAGCCACCTTGTATTGTCCCCATTCTCTACCAGGAAAAGTCATCTTTAAGGAAACATGTTCTCACTGCACAAACAACTGTAGGAAAGGTGCTTCGCTGGAAAAAGCAGGGCATTCATGACTAGAAGGGGACCTTCTGTGTTAATGACATGAAAAGGTTGACATTGATACTTCAAACTAATGTTAGCCAAACCTCCACGCACCAGTCATATGTATAGGCCTATGGCCATGGTGTATGAGCTGATCGGTGGGACAGTTAAGGAACACAATGGACCAAGCTGGTTTGCCTGCAGAAAGAAACAAGTGGGCTCCATCTGGCTAATTTCACCAACAGAACAGAGCAACTGGCTCATCAGAGCTGGCTGTTTTACGACAGGACCTCTAGAAAGTCAGAGCTGGTTTGTATTATTTCTCCACATTGACTTCAGTTACTTTGCACTAGGGACTATTCCTTTGGAGTGTTTAGTTGTCTATAAAAACAATACCAGATTCCTAATATAGATTCCAGGTACTAAGAAATATCAGTGTCTTTTCAAGTTTTGGAATAACAAGAAGTATGGTAAAATGGTAAATAGTAATTATGATAGGTATATGGATATATGATAGATAGATAGACAGATAGATAGATAGATAGATCAATAGATAGACGCATACAAACATACATACAGACATTTTTAGACATTTGTTTCCAAAGTCAAATCTTGACCATAGTATACCATCAGTCCAAACCCTGTTATAAAACTACATAATTAAAAATACAAGTATATGAAACACAGTATTCTCTATGCATTAATTATTCCTATAATTCTGTATCTCTCAAGTCAGAACTAAAAACCATACCCAAATCATTATTAAGGGACAATTTCTAGGCCTCTCTTATGCCTTGCAGTCTAAGGAAAGCAAAATAAGGCAAACACCCAGTCAAAAACACTGTATCCCACAGCAAGATCAGCTCTGCCTGCTTTCTCCAGCGTAGCAAGTGGATCCTGTAAGTTTTTTACTCCCACAAAAGTTGGCCGTTTGCATATGCCTTGTGACTAAAGCCAAAGTCTACCATTTTCCAAAGTGTGCAGGGAAAAATGACCAGAAAGAATGGATTCCCCTCCCTTTCAAGGCTACAGCATGAACATTTACATGAGGAACTTTCAGAATAATGAGCATTGCTAGTAAAACATATGCAGTAGGCAAAATATCAGGTTTCTTTTTCCAGCTGTCCAGAATCCCATTAGTGCTCTTACCATATCACTCTTCTGCTATAATTAGGGCTCTGGTTTATCTGGGCCTTTTTTTCAAAGCCAGATTTCCTTCCTAGCTGCCGAAACAGCAGCTGTTATTCACAAGTACCCCGATGGCACAGGGATCTTTATTTTGATTTACATTATAGTTCAAGAATTGAGTATGAAGTGACAAGAAAACACACACACACACACACACACACACACACACACACACACACACACACACCTTTTCTTTTGCAGCTTAAAAACAAAACAGGTCTTACCTGAAGATGGTCAGTCTGGTCTGGAATCTGGCTTGCTTCAGATAATTTAGTAAACAGTTCCCCTTCTCCCTCAAAGCTTGTGTCCCCTTCATTCGGAAGTGGTTCTGCTGGTGGTCGAGGGGTTTTAGAGTCTTGCTCTGCAGGAAGCAGAATGCACGGTTCTGTGTGAAAGTGGGAATTCCAGCCAGGATCTCCTACCTCAGACTGTGTGGGCTCTTGTCCATAGCTCCCGGTTAAGGAGCCTTGGGGAGCCTTGGGGAGGGGATCAAGCGTGCCTTTTGGGGCATTGTCTTTCAGCAGCTGCTTCTTGGCATTTGCCTTCATTCCGAGCCGCCTCACCCTGGTGGGTCTCAGGGCAGCCTTTCCGCTGCCTGGATGCTTTTCATCTGCTCTTTCCCCGGCCAGGCTTTTCAAACTCTGCCTCACTTCTGACTTGTCTAACCCCCTAGGCAAGGGCTGCACCCCTGCCTCTGTCTCTGCCTTATCCACGGTTTGCAGACTGTCACTGGAGAATTCCTCTCCTGCTTCAGGGTTGTCTCTGGTTTCTCCCCGAATTCCTGGACAATCATTTTCGTCAGCCTCGGAAGCAGTGGGGAGTGGAGCCCTTCCTGGTTCAGTCATTTTAGCAGTCCCATCCTGGTGAGGTCCCAGAGTGAGAGTCATTCCCGCATGCAGGGGTAAGGGACTATGCCTGGAGGTTCCGCTGTTCTTGACCCCCACTTCTTGGGGTTGTGAGTGATAACTGCACAAGCCAGTGGTGGCATTCGTAGGCCCCATGTCACCCGACACCTGAGGCCCACAACCCATTTCACTGAGGAAATGCTCACACCCACCCAGACCGCACTCATTGAATTGCATCTCTTCGTCATCGCTCTCTAATAAAAAAACTCGGTCAGTCCCCAGCAGGCTCCTCTGCCAAACGGCATTAGAGTAATCTGTCATAACATCGGAACATTCCAGATACTCCAGGTCATCGTCCGAAAACTCCTCCGTGTAGGTTAGGGTTATCTCTGGGCAAAGTTCATAGTCACTGTCAGAGTCTTCGCTGGAAACCTGTGGGCCCGGCTGCGTGTTGATGGAGTGGCTGTCACCTGGGTAAGGACACAGTGTTGCTTCCGGCAGTGGAAGGCTGAAACTGATGTATTTCTGTGCTTTGGGGTTTTGATGACTAGGGGTGGCACCCTCCTCATTAGACCCTTTGCTACCTAGGCCATCGCCAATTAACCCTGGGACAGTGGCGTACACTGTCCTGTGCTGGCATGCATCTTGTTTCCCAGTAGTGTTATCTGAACGAAAGGAATTTTCTTGTGTGTTATTTGGATTGCAAGGCTCTGTCCTTTGTCTTGTCTTTTTAACATCTGGAGGGTTCTCAGAATCGGAAGCACCAGACTCATAATTGGCCACTCTCTGGGGTGGCCATGAGTGGTTGAGTTTGTGGGGGGAGGAATCAGCTGACAGGCAAACCCACGGGACCATACTTTCTTCTTCCTTACAAGGGTTCCCTTTCTCCTCCGTGTGATTTATGCTGCCTTCTGCATGTATCTCTGTTTCATGTTGGCCAGCCACACCCCTGCCGCCTACTGGGTCAGGAGACACTTGTGCGTCCTGCAGACACTGGACCTCAATGGATGCCGAACAGCAGATCATCCCCACACAACTTCTTGCAGAGACTTGATAAACAGCAGTATCACTCTGGGTACAGCTAGGAAGAGAACAGACAGGTCAGTGAGAGCTTGTACACAGACATTTGTCTGTGTTTGAGAACATGGCCAGCTATGAAAATACTGAGAAGGAAGAATATATATATATATTCTATTTTTATCTTGCTGTTTAAGTTAGCTTTAGTGCTCCTGAATTTTGAAGAGCATTATGTGTGAAGAGAGACACTCTATGCAAGTAATAAAAGCATCCTACCTTAACATCCCCAAACAATGCCTACAGCTTTTTTTAAAGACCATACTAAGAAAGCACATACCTTAAAAAAAAAAAAAAAACATTTTTTTTTTTTTTTTTACTTTTTTGACTCTATGTCATTTCCCCTTTCATTTCCTCCTCCAAGAAGTGGTGTTTCTTGTCAAGAAACTATAACAACACCACAAAAGGGTTGTATGTGGAAAGCCAATGTCATTTCCTCCTTAATATGACTAAAACAAATCTAACTCACAGCCAGGAGCTCCAGTGGCTGGAAACCTGTGTCCACATGTCACCTTGACTAACATGGCTCAAGCCAGGTGTCCTGCTTTGGCCCAACAAGGGAAAACTCTGAATCAGACTAAGCTTGCACTTCCTGTCCCAAGAGGGACAGCTCTTCACCTTCACCGGAGCCACAGGGAGCCTGCATCTGACAGGCCCCATTGACTCATTCCTTGTTGAGACCCTTCCGGAGACCAAGGTACTTTCTTGCTGAGTCCGGTTAGCTGCAAAGTAATGTTGCTGATCTTACACTGTGAATTATGCAGCTTAGAAGTCATATTTTCAGGCAGCAAGGGCTGTGGATCTGGCCTGGTCTTAGATGAAATGCTTAGACTTTGACTGGCTTGTTGTCTGTGTAAAATATGCACAGTTACCTAACTCGGGAGGGATGAGTTAGACAGTTAGAATGGGGTAGTTCCGTGTCCTTCTTCGCCTTCCCTGGAGGGAGCCCTTAGCCTTCTCACCCTATGTAAATGTTCATAAACCCTCAATCACTGGAGCTTGGGGAGAGCTCTCACCCACCTACAACTTCAAGGATGCCTTGTTTAGATGGTAAACAGTCTCTAGATGGGCTGGTCTTGGCCATGACAAATACTCTGCCTTGGATAACAGTTTGGGGAGATAAGCTTAGGGTAGCAGTCAATTTCACAAATGTATTCGGGTCTGGAAGAGTGTGAAGGGGCTTCATGAAGTAGAAAACTCTTTGCCAGAGTGGCAAAATGTGGACATGTCAAGACCAAGCAGTCTTTAGTTTCCCCAGTGTGTACATAGGCATCCTGATACCTGTGACTCTAGCACTGGGAAGGCTGAGGTAACAGGACAGCTCCAAGTTCAAGGCCACACTGGGCTACAAACAAAACAATAACCAAAAATGGAGTGTGTGGGGGATCCTGAGAACTCTATTTAAAATTCCTAAATCAGAGGCTGAAGAGATGGCTCGGCAGCTAATAGTATACACAGTCTGCTCTTCCAGAAGGCCCAAGTTCAATTCCCGGCACCCACACAGTGGCTCCCTGCCATCTGTAACTCCCAGAAGATCTGATGCCCTCTTTTGGCCTCTGCAGATACCAGCTATGCTCACGGTACACAGAAATGCGCAGAAACAAAACACCCATACACATAAAACAAATAAGTAAAATTACTTTTTAAAAAAGAACATTGAATGTCATAAATCACAACTTCTAGATGGAGGGCCTAAAATATGCTTTCAAAGATAGGAGTCATTTGGGGCTGGAGGATGGCTCAACGGTTAAGAGCACTGACTGTTCTTCCAGAAGACCTGAGTTCAGTTCCCAGAACCCATATGGCAGCTAACAACTGTCTGTAACTCCAAGATCTGAACCTTCACACAGATATACATGCAGACAAAACACCAATACACATAAAATAAAAATAAATAAATTTTAAAAAAAGATAGGCGTCGCTCTAATGTAATGGCTACTTCCCCCAGTCCCCTGCATCCCTTTCCTAATTAGTCAGGTCTGTCCAGCTAAAACCAAATTTTCAACTGATGAAAAGTAACCTTTGCAGCATTTTCATGTTGTACCCATCATTCCCTTCATGAGCCTTTTCAGTTAATTCCTGGAGCTTTGTCCTCGGTTATGGGTTTGCAGGGAGCATCCTGGGTAACTCAGGACAATCCTGGGTAACTCAGATGTTCTGACCTGCTGATGCCAGGAAAACCCTGAAGGTACCATGACCAGTGTGGAGAGAAATGAAAAGAAAGCAAGGCCAGGAGGCACACAGAGCCACTCAAGAAAGATGAGCAATTGATTCCCAAGACCTGAGGAGCACCAGGTGTGGTGGCACACATGTAATCCTAGCACTTGGGAGAGGCTGAGGCAGGAAGATCACAAACTGAAAGCTGCTCTGGTTTTGTCTAAGAATGTACATTTATATCAAGGACAGAAAATGAATATAAAATTTCAAAAGCTGGCAAACACAACTGTATTAAAAATAAGTTCATAAGTAAATTGAATATATCAGATTGTCATGGTTTAGTTAAAAATGATTTTACAGCACATATTTCAATTGATATCAAATTTCCAAACCTCCATCTATAGAGAACAAACTTCCCACTAGTTAATGGATGCTTTGCATTTTCCTTTTTGATTGATGTATCATTGTCTTTAAGCATTCCACAAAGAAAGGGGGGAAAATTGGGCAAAACATCACTATCTGTTGGATGCTTCTACATAAAAACAGTCTAGTTACACCCTTCATGCAAAATTGGGGTGCAAATGAGTTAAGTAATTCCTCTGTAATGATAAAGGGAAGAAACTGGAGAGTTGGGATAAGCCAGTAGATCCTCTGGACACTGAAGCTTAGGTCTGTGTATGTTCAAGAAACTGCCATTTGGAGAAAAGAAACAGTGGGGTAGAGAGAAACCATTGTGTAACTGAAGCATTTCTATCCAAAATCTCCACCCTAGCAATCCAGTAGGAAGCATGTGTTGATACCTGGCTAAAGAGAGCCAAGGAGATAGGTGAGATCTCATGTCTATCACCAGCCACCTCAGAGAGCCACTCTGGGCAAAGCTGTCCCATGTATAATTGAGTGGGAAAGGGCTTCAGTGGTAGCTGGCTAAAATGTGAAGCCCACGGGGATGTAGAAATGTCCAAAGTTGCTGGCAGGGAGACCTGTGGTCCCCAAAGTGATTCCTGAAAGCATCAAGAAGGAATTCCCAAACAATCCATCGAGTTCCACACTTGTGTGTCCTTCCTTTTAGCTGAGGGAGGCAATAGCAATCTTCTACCTTGTTGGAAAGTCCTACCTGAATTCTCCAGGCTCTTTCTAAATTAATCATTCACTTATTTTAATAAGTGGATATTATTGTAATTGGATGGGGCTTCTGGGTTTGCACCCCCAGAATGGTACCATACTAGAGATGTTGAAACCATTTTGGTATCAAGACTTTAATAACTGAGGATAGCAAAGCATCTTTGTTAATGTAGCTCATGTCTGTCAATATTACATCAAACTGAAAAGAGAAACTTCAAATATTTATTCATTTCAAAATTAATTTATCATACCTTAGCATATATAGCATGTTTATAAAAACTAAGTATGTCTTCCAAAACACAAAGTTAAAGTTTATGAAGTTTATGAAGGATGTTGTTTCACACTTGCCTGGGTATCTCTAACAGGAGGCTTAATGAAACACAGCTGGAATTTGGACCTGTTTCTGCATCCAGTGTGATGTGATGCACTATTCTACTCTCAGAGAGACATACGTGAAAAGAACACCAGGAGAGAGGAGAGCTTAGGGACAAGAAGAGTATCTGAGGAAACTGGAACATCCTAGTTCAGAAAGGTGCTGAATACTGAACAGAAAGGGTTGGAAAATCTGGATTTTATCATCAGTAACAGATATTTTTAGTTTCCCTTGAAGCTCATTTTTTTTCTGAGAAAATATCTGCCAAACATTATTTGTCTATTTTTTAAGAGTACATGTGATTGTGTGTAGTACAGGTGTGTAGAGGTCAGAGGGTAACCTGAGCCGTTGGTCCTTTGTTAAACATTGATCTTTTGCTGATCACTGTGGCTTAGGCTAGCTGGCCTACAGGCTTCCAGGAACGCCTGTATCTACCCACCACCCATCCTTTGGAGGTACACCGGGGTTACACATCGGTTACTCTGTCCAGCTTCATGTAGGTTCTGGGGATCTGTAGCCAGATTTACTTTAGCTTACAAATGAGATGATAATACATATGCTTTGGTTGCAGCTTCAGGGAGTCTGGCAGTGAGTTGGGTTTTGTGTGTGTGTGTGTATGTATTTTGTCTCTTAATATAGTTATTAAAGGGCTTTTACTGAGTTATTAAGATCTAATAAAATTGATCAAGTTTTACGTTCATGGTAGTAGGTGTTAAATAGTTCTCTTCTGCTTTTAGTGACAGCTACTGGCAGTAAAGCATTCTACAAAAGCTAATATGCTTGGGACTGCTGCTTTCACTGGTCTCGGAGGTACCAACCAGTTTATCAACAGAGTGAAATGGGCAAATTACATATGGTTACATATGTACAAAGCATTTTTATATTTAAAAATATTTTCATTTCTGTCTGTCTGTCTGTCTGTGTATGGGTGTTTTGGGGTGTTTTTGAGATAGGATCTCACTATGCAGCCCATGTTGTCCTGGAACTCATTCTGTAAACCAGGCAAGCCTCAAACTCATAGTGATCTACCTCTGCTTCTGCCTTCCAAGTGTTGGAGTTAAATTAATGTACAGATTAATATTATGTATTTTAATAAAAGGGTTTTTCCTTAACCATTCCCAAGGTGGGTTAAGTAACTACTGGGGAGCCATTGACTTGAGCTACTCTCTAAGGCAAGCAGTAGTAGCACAATGCCCTCTCAGCATAACTGGCAGTTGGCCCTGGAAGGCTTTCACCTGTAGGGTGCTGGCTTTGCTTGAGCTCATCATTTAGGCGCTTCTTAGGCAGAGGATTTCTCTTTTTGATTTTCCTGACTTACAAGGGGAAAGGAGACCTATGTGTGGATTCCATACCCA